ATAAGTAGATTTCAATGCAAAATAATGAAATGTAGCACTTTGGGGGCAGAGTTAATTTTAAAATAAAATTATATTGTCACAAGTACTTATGTACTAAAATGTATAGCTTATAGTTTATATTGTTTAACTTAATTATGTTTTACCACGTTAACATGAAAATTATACCAACTGATTATTTAGTATCTATAATTTTTATATGAACGATACAAGTACTCGTATCATATTTTTGTGAACTCATATTAAAAATTTGAATAAAATCCAATTATAAAAGTGCTATTTCACGTATATTATATTTAATCTTTTCATTCCTAGGGTTGTAGAATAGTGATAGATTTAGGGTTTAGGTTTCAGAACTTCAGGTGGTAGATAACCTCTTTTGTGGTTAGAATTGGATTGAATTGTAAATGTACGGGTATTGAAAAACTCAGTTGTGTTATATTTTTGTGCATAAATAAGCATATTCTAAGTTAAATAATAGAAAAAAAAAATAGTAAAATTAGAGGTGCATTATAATGTTGACGAATATGATACAAAGGTCAATTGAATAACGAGTGTTATTAAATAACGGTCTATAGCAGCGGTCGCTGAACTTTTGGATCTTGCTGACCACTAAATCCATTTTCAAAATTTTACGGACCACTTACTAATATTTGTTAGATTCTGAACGGAGTGATGGAATCTATTGGTTTTGCAATGATGTGTGTTTTTTTATTTTTATTTTATTTTTGTGTATGTCATCACGTTTTGGGGTAGTAAAAATGCTTCGATTTTCTTAAACAGCAACTTTTCTGAAAGGAAAGTGAATCTACGATGGTATTTTGACAAGTAAAAATTAAATTTTTTCATTACTTTTTAAAAGTATCAAAAAAAAACATAAAAAAAATTACGAAAACACGGGGATTTTTACGCAAAACCACGTTTTGCCAAACTACATTTTTTTTAAAATGCTCTAACTCAAAAATGAAAAACCGCATACACTAGAAATTTTCACTATTTAAATTAGCGTTTTCTATACATGGTAACGTTTTCGATGTATTTTAAAATTTTTTGACTTATTTATAGACAGTTTAAATTCTTGATTTTTCTAAGTTTTTTTTTTTTTTGAAATACCGAGAAAAAAATTTGGCTGTAAGAAAATTCTTGATAACTTAATACAAGATTTATTATAAATTTTATTTATCAAAACTAAAAAAAATTAGAAATTGTTCGACGATTTAAGTCAAAATACCGATAATTTGCATGTTATTTTTTGGTTAAAAATTCATAAAATGTTTTTCTATTTATACTTAAGTTGTAAAATTTTAACACAAGGTTATCCATAAGTTATTCTTCTACTAACTTTTAAAAAAAATTACTGGATTTTAAGGAAAAATTTTTTTGACCATTTGAAATTTAAATTTTTACGAAATCGCATAAAATGACAATTTATCCTTAAACAGTTTTAAATATTTGTTATTATATTGTTTACATTTTTATTATATTTGTTATTATTATTTATATTCAAAAAGTGAAATTCGCAGAAACTCGAAACTTTTACTAGTTATTAAGTTTAACATTTTTAAGCAACTTATTGGCATTTGAAATATTTGATTTTTCCTAATAAAATAATAAGAGCCGTTTTGACTCATATTTTGTTAATTAAGTATAGTTATATAGGATATTTATACAGAAATTATGTCCAAATAGAAAATTTTTGGAAGACTGCTTTCTATATATAAGATTATAATATAATAATAATATATAATAATATTTTTTCTATATGTATCTAACAAATCATCTCCGTTCAGAATCGTTATTCTTATACAATGATACCTCTCATTGCATTCAAATTTAAAAAATTCATTGTAATGACCTATCCTATAAACAAGGTACACTCCACCTCCTACTGTACAGCAGAGCGAGGCCCATTAGCTTTTTAGTATTTAAAATTTATTTTATAAGTCTCATGTCCTTATTCAGAGATAATAGTTTTTTACACATTTACCGTTCCTTTGATAAGACTTGTACCAATTAAATATAAAAAAAATATATCTATAAAAAAATAAAAAAGGATTTTTTTTTATTTAAGATGAAGGTTTTAAGTTACTGTAATTATTACAAATTAATTTAAGCTTAGTATATAAAGGTGAGTAGGTATTATATATATAATCCTTAATGTGACATTTGTTCCTGTTTGTTTTGAAGACTTTCGTGCAATTTTGACTCCAATATAGTCACTACAAGACGTTGACTTTTACTCATTTTTAGTCGATATCGGTACCATGTCCAACAGATGAGAATGTTTTTTTAAATAAATACGTTGTTGAAAATTGAATTAAAATTTTCGTTGCTTTTTTACTCAACAATAAATCTTAATTTTCGACGAACAGCCAAAAATGAGATTTTGATAATTCCAGAAATTTTTAGTTTTGAGTGTTGCATCGGATGATAAATCGTTGAGGTTTTCTTTTTCGTTCATATTAAATTTTTTATTTTCATTGTTTGCTGTAAATTGATCTATTATTCGTATATTCATTTTTTTTTTTTTTTTTTTGGGAAATAACGACAAAAATATTCTGTGAGTGATTGTAAATTCTATTAAATAATAGCTACCACCAGCTGATTAACGTCCTTCTCTTTCATATATTTATCAACATTTGGAAATATTTGTAGATCCTTTTCAGACAAGCGCGTTTGCCTAAGTCATATATTTTTTTTTTTGAAAGTTGTATCCATTTTATCACGTACTGTGAATACGTCGTTAAATTGTTCTTACATGAATATGTTTAGTTCATTTAAAATTAATAAAATATCTACCAGATATGGAAGTTTAGCCACCCAATTATTATCCAATAAGAGTTCTTGAAATTTTACATTATTTTACTGTTGGAAAAATAATTTAACTTCTTCGTATAGAACAAACTGTCGGGTTAAAACTTTACTCCTCGAAAACCACCTTACCTCTGCATGAAGAAGAATATGTATATATTGGGAATCCATTTCTCCACAAAGTGATTTAAATAATCTTGAATTAATTGCTTTGTGAAAAATATTTACAATTTTAATAACATCGGATAATATTTCGTAAAGTTCTAGGGAAATTTTTATTGAGGAAAGTTGTTCAGGACGCAAAATGCAGTAGGTAGACAAAATATTTGGTAACCGACATTTTTCAATTTTTCAACAATGCTTAAAAGATGTCCAACCATGTTTACAGTACCATCTGTACATTACAATCGAAATTCGACTAAATATTTCAATAAAGGTAAAAGTTAATATGAAGATTAGATATTTTATAATATTTGCGGGAAATACTTACTTTACCAAGCTCGATAACGAAGCATGTAAGGTAATCTTATCCATTCGGCCACTCGGCAATAATATATAAATATATATGACCGGATGATTGGAGAAACTTCGAGAGTCACATGTTATATTAAATTGAGGTATTATTTATTTACCTATTATTTATTATTATTATTTATTAACTTATACTAGTTATGTGTTTCTATGAATTGAGAGTAAAAACGCTGATTATTATTATTTATTTATCTGATAAAAAAAAAATAGACGTTTTTACTAATATCTCAACTTAATTAAATATGCGAGTCATGACGTTTCTGCGATTCGTTTATATAAATGTATAGTTGGTGAATATAAGCTCTTATTACATTTTATACTTTTAACATGCAATAATGATGATGGAATTAATACGTGTTAATTTTATTTGCGGTTTACCAAACAAAACCTACACAGCAACATAATACAATACTTTGTCACATAGTGATTATACGACACGGGCTCGTTGTGTTATTAAAAAAGATTAATAAATAATATTACAAATATCGTTCAAATATTTCTGCGGACCACCTAAATTTGCGGTCCACGGACCACCAGTTGGCAGCCACTGGTCTATAGAAATATTGAGATAAAACATCGTAGAGTGTTATTTAATTTTTCATGTATACTCCTATAATATACGATAAAACGATAGAGGATGTGACGAAAACTGTCCTTTGAAATCGATGACATGTTGAATATGATTAGTCAAATTTTATTTTGATTAATGTTTTATAATTGTTAAATTATTTTTATTGCAATCCAACAGTTCTGAATTAAAAATAAATACAATTATTTATATTACGTTGTATTCTTGAAATTAACATTGTCATTGCCGAATACGCGAAATCGAGAGTTTCACGGATTCAGGATAACATATATTAACATTAGTCGTTGATGGTGAATAAAATAAAAAGTTAATAAGAAGTAATGATCGTGACACATGTTTTCTCTCGCGCTTCCGTGTATGATATGATCTCGATGATACGTTCGCAAGCACGATGAATGACTACGTTACGAAGTACAACTACTACTGTTGTTGTTTTTGCTGCTGTGAAAAAACTGAAGTTTTTCACCGCTGCTAATCGCTATTTCTTCGGCCGCGATCATCCCACACGTGCGCTACCGGCACCTGGAGCCGAGGTGGTGGCGAAGGTGGCGGCGGCGACGACGGGCACCACCTGGCGCGTGCGCGCGATTTGCGCTTTCAGAGCGCCCGGTGCCGGCACCCGTGACCGGCTGTCACCCCCCTCCCTTTCATCCCACCCATCGCGGAACGGGGCGCGTGGACGGCTGGCCGGTCTGAGCTGTAAGGTGGCAGCGGTGGCAGCGGCGGCGGCGACAAGCCCACACCCGCGGAGCGAGCCCGTGCGCGTGCGCTTGTGCGCGCGAGTAAGAGAGACTGAGAGAGAAGTCGCCGCGCGAGTGAGAGAGAACGAGAGAGAAGCCGCCGCGCGTGCCGAGACCGTCGTCGTTCCGACCGACCGGGCGAACAGAGCAGTGTGTGTGCGCGCGCGGCGGTGTGTGCCAGGCAGCTTCGTGCGTGCTTGTGTGCTAACGTGTGTGTGTGTGTGTGTGTGTGTGTATATATATGTGCGTTCTGTGCGTGTGCGCGTGTCCGCTCTGTGCGCTGGTTACTGCTGCTGCTGCTGCTGCTGCTGCTCGCTAGCTGGCTGGCTGCTGCTGCTGCTGCTGCTCGCTGGCTGCCTGCTACTCTCGCTGGCTGCTGCCGTTGTCTGCTGCTATCGCTGGTCGCTGCTGTCGGCCGGCCGTCGCGTCGTCTGACGCCCGTCTGCGTGTGTGTGCGTTCCTCGTGTCGTTTCCTGTCCGCATATCCCGAGGTGCACGATCGTCGTCCTGCCGGTTAAATATAGCGCCAATCGTCGTTTCTAGGCACGCCTTTGAAAACCTCGCTCCGGCTCGCCCCAAAGTCGTCGCATATCGCTGCAGTTCTCGGGTTTTTCGCGGACACGCGTTTACGATCCTTCCGTGCTCGTCTCACTCCTGACGCGGCGTTCGGCCACCCCGCGTTACGTGCCGCCCGGCCGCGATCCACGTGCGACGTTCTGTTACCGCTGCAGCTACTGTACGGGGTAGTGACCGCCCGAGCGGCGGTGGCGGTGGTGGCGGCGGCGGCAGTGGCGACGACGACGATTACAAATACGAGTTCGGCCATCGCGGTGACGGCTGTTTCGGCCTTTCCCTGTTCCTCCCCGACCGCGGCCGTCTTCTGTCACTCGTTGCACGCAGTGCCGTTGTGCTGCACCACCACCAACACCACCACCATTACCACTATTATTACAACCACCACCATCACTAACGCCATCACTACTTCGGACTGCAGCTCAATCCCGGTGTCGCCGAAGTGATGCAACAACAATGCGGTTTCTGCGCTGCGGTGTCCGACATGTTCCGGAGGATCATGTGCTTTAACGGCAGCAGGAGGGGTAGCGACCAGTCGTACTATCATGAGCTGGACAACGATGACCCACAAATCGCACTAGTGAGTGGATATTGCCCAACAGTCGGCTTTTAATTGGTTCCTTTTGCATTCGTTTATCGCGTTACCCTATGTATTGATGATGCTTGTTTTTGGTTGTACGCCTGCAGCCGGGGAAGTCCGTTCTGAACCGTCGACACGGGTCAACCGGTGTTTGTATAATTTAACGAATAAATGTTATAAGTAATGTAATGAATCCAAAGAACTTGAACTGAAAAATACTTAGCCGTGGCCGCTGTGTTCGTTCCGTAGACTCGTAATAATTACGAATGCAATGCCGAGACCACGTATTTTAATCTCAACAGTCATACGTTAGTACGGCGGCTTGAACGGAATCGAGAAAAAAAAAACAAAGATATTACCTTCGCCCGTTCGCCCGTACACAACGAGCTTAATTTCGTGCACATATGTGTTGTAAATATTTATGCTAAAATTTACAGCCCGAACGTGTCATTACTACTTGTTTTGTTCTCAACAATACCATGCCTTATTGCGGAACATACGCTGCGCGTAGGGGTTTTTTTTTTAAAAGTATATATTCGAGTTTATCGTTTTTATGTTTTACGCCGGTCAGTTGGTCACCGCACTACCGTGGCGAAATGCATTTTCGAAACTAGTTAACTAGGCGACACAAATGATGGTTTTTTTAAAGACTTTGCAAAATTATACGGAACGAACGTAAAATATATCGTACTTTTATACATCGGCTATTTTGAGAAAAAATGGTTTGTGGCCCAGTGAAATTCCTTAAAAAGTGTACAGCCTGTGGGTACATATTATAGTTTGTTGTCGCATGAAACACTTCCCTAAGGCGTTTAAGTTTACTGTTGTCGAGTAGTGTCATTCATATAATTTGGGGTACACATTTTCGGTGTCGAAAAGAATATGACTGTCGTCGTACGTTATTTTTATCGTTATCATTACTTATTGCTATTACCGAACCTTGTAAATTCAACTATATCTACTTCATCCTATTTACGTGTCGTATATGTATTTATTTAATATTTTTTCCCGTTTACGTTTTAACTGAAGTACGTACGTACGAAGAAAACAAAAAACCAAATTAAATTTATGAATTTATGTACATAAATATAGTACATAATAATTTCATATGCTCGGAGATGTTTATGTTGTTGCTGCATAATCCGCGCACCGTACGTATGTTTTTTACATTTTATCATCACTATACGGGACAACGACCTCAGATGGATTGTTATACTTCGTTTATCCGTCAAATTTTTTCTCGGTACTCAGAGAATTTCAATAAAACTTCAAATCACCGATGTATTTGATTATTGTTTTTTTCCCAGCAAAAGTTTTTATTATTTTCTTCATACGTTCAATTTTTTATTTAGTTCACACGTTTTATGGAGAATTCAAATAATTTTATATGTTTGGAATAACCAAGGGATGTCATTTGAATAGAATAGTAATAATATATTTTTATATTATAATAATAATTAATTTAATATGTGGAAAATGTGAAATGTATATATAATTGTATATTAAAAAGACGCTTAGAATGTTTGGAATCATGTTTTCTCAAAAAAATTTCAAAAACATTTTCTTAATCTAAATTTGGAATTTTATAACATAAAATTATATTATTTTACTGTTTTAACGATTTATAATTTATTAAATATATGCATACAATATTTACATAATATCACATGCACTGTTAAGTGTCATATTGGCTATTTATAGTTTTTCTTAATCGTTTTGCGTTATCGTATTACATACGACATGTGGTATCCTCTGTGTTAAAATCAAATATTCTAACTTTCTTGAAATTTATATGTAAGTGCTTTTATTGTGTATTTCTAATGACATTTCCTATTGTATTCTTTACATTATTAATGATATCGGATTGAAAATCATTGTCCGTCGCCGACGATTTCTTTCAAGCGTGTTCTCACGTTAAATGACTTAGGCATTTTGAAATATATTGGTTTAATGTACTTTTTCATTTTAAAGAGTAAATAAATTCAAACTTGAAAATATTATTTTTTTTATTATTATCGTAATAATCGCACAATTTTCGAATACTTTCAACTGTATATAATGACGCTTCGACTGATTTTCGTTTGAGGTTTTTAATCTTTAAGGCTTGTGTACACTATACATGTATATTTTGGATCGTGCCTAGACATTTTTTTTAGAGAGGGGGTTTCCATATTTTCACTACTACGTATTCCAAATGTATTTATTTTATCAGAAAATAATTTTGGTAATAATTAATTTTACAGTAATAGACAGATAGACAATGGATTATATAAAAAAACCCTGGCAAATGTTTATAACATTAAACTTAAATCGTATAAAAATATTTAGCAATACTTTTTTTCTTAATTCATTCACATTTTTTGGAGGGGGTTAACTCCCAAAACCCTCCCACTAGGCACGCCCCTGTTTATACATATTAATATATAGATGCATTGGTATATAATTTTAATAACGTGTCATCATTAATTGTTGCTGAAAGTAGGTATGGGTTAGAAAATTAATAGGGTAGTATACGTACTCGTGAACCTTTAGTTAACTCAATAAATGGGATGTAGACTGTAATTAGATACGTTTTCTAAGTTAAAGTTTCATCGTTAAGCTAATTATGCAACACACCATAACCTGATAAAAATATAAGCTATTATATATATTGTTATTTTTTCTCTAATCAAATTTGAGCTTGTGTTTGAAAACAAGTGATGAATATAAGCGCGTGCACCCACTTAATAAATGCTTACTCGGATTTCTTTCTTTCGCGAGAAGAGGAATCAGTCTGCGAGAGAGTACTCAAAACGGTGATTTTTATTTGTCGCATTTACCCTTATCTTTATATACTCTAGCTTGTATAGATGTAGTGTATAATCTTGTGCATTTAATTTTTCTGCAGAGGCACACTTTTAATGAAAAAACTGGAGATGCTGAAGCCCCTTTATCTTTTCCATTTACATTTACGTTTATGAACATCCACAATCTGTATAATTGAACAATTACAAATATTAATATTTAGTAAATATTTCAATTTTTTTAAATTGAAATTGTTGACTTTGACTTAATATTTTTATTTTTTTTTTTTTTCGTATAGTTATATCGTATTATCAATGTGGATACACAAATGTTTCATTATATGATGAGTTTAAGATTTTAATTGAAGAGAAGTATCTTTTAGTTTTACAATAATGTATTTTTTTTAAATTTTTTTATTTATTTATTTTTTCTGCAAACACTTTTTCGGATAAAAATACTGGTGCAAAACTAGTTTTAACTAGTAACTCTTTAGATTTAATATCGACATGTGGTGGTACTTTAGAAAGCTAATTTTTTAAAATCTCAACAGTTTACGAGAGGAAAAATTGCCGAAAATCGATTAAAAACTGTAAAAATACGCTGTAAACTAGACTTTCACTTTCCAAATTTCAGCCATAACTCCAAAAGTAATGTGACTAAGAACTTGAAATGTTAACCCTTCTTTGAATATTGGACAAAAATTTAAAAAAAAAGTGAAGATTTTTTGGTTTAAATAAAGAACTTTGAAAATACCTAATTTTTTATGTAATAACATTTTTATTTTTGGATGTTTATATTTGAAAACTTAATATCACCTTATTTGTATACTTAGTTAATAATGCTGAAAAAATTTCAAAAATCGTCGGTCAGGGTTTAATTTTATAAGTGTTTAAGTGAATTATTATATTATTTATACGGAATTTATTATTTTTTATGAATTTTTAATTTTAAACGTTTATTAAAAAAATTAGTCCATCCAATCCTTATGAAATTTTGGATACAGATTGAACAAAATGTCTTGAATATTTGGTTAAAAAAAAATTACTCTGTCGTCAAGCAAGAAATTTTGTAAACAGGTTAATAAAAAATAAAACCTACCGATGAGTAAACTAAAAATGGTAAATTATATAAACGGTATATTTTTATACTGAAACGTTGCTTAAAATTGTATTACTATAGAAATGAGTTATAATTTCTTAAAAACTCAACCATTATGCGTTTTGAAGACTGAAGGGACGAAGGCCACCATTATTTAAATTATAAATTTATAAATAATATAATAAAACTTCGATTTTATATAAATAATATGTAAACATAATAAGTTATGCGTCATCGCTAATGACTACTTAAATGTAAATTAACATGAACAAATTTGGGGGTGCTAAGCACACTTAAGTTCCTCGCTCCAATTGCGCCTATAATGTTCTATTGTATATAGTGGTGCATATCTGTGTTGGAACATTATTATTATAAACATAATAATTATAATATAATACAATAAAATATAATGACAATTATAAACACCCTATTTTTCAAATTACGTAAACTTCGTTATGTCCTAAATCGAATTTCATATTCGGATGGCAAACTTAAATTTATATTAATCTTCTGGTGTCGCCGTTTGACCAACCCCACTACTACGTGCATTATTAAATGGCACACATACAAACGCCTGTGATCTATGAATCTGAACATTTTTATTCGATAAATTATTTCTTTTTTCGCTGCGTCTCTTAACGACGTAGGTCGTTAGTTCTGGAGTTGTTCCGTTAACGATTTCACTTTCACGCAAACAACTCGGGCTGGTATCACAACAACCAGTCCGAACTTTTTACTGTTTGTTATAGTGTATTTTTTTTTTATGTATATATATAAGACCACTCCCAAAACATACCGGTTTATATGAATTCGCAATTTATGCCAATATATTTATATATTTACGTTTTTTTATTATTATTGTTATTAATTTAATATATGTGGGTTTGCGTGTGTACAACGTAAAAGTATTACGTCGATTGGAAAATAATTCTAGCGGGTGGATATCACACATTCACATTCAGTAGTCGTTGAACGCGCGCGTGTATCGTTCTCGCCTTTCGTCGATCGTTCTGTTGGATTGTATGTTATTATACTCGTTTCGGTTCCGTGAATCGAATGTTTTTTTTTTCGTTTTTCGATACAATATTATATTGATTTCCATTCTTCGGTTGGCGGTG